GGGAAGATGCAGTTTATTATGGATTGGCTCAGGAGCGTAACCTCCAGAATGCCTTATGAGTTGAATCTTCTGTTGGGGTTCCAGAAAAGAGGTATTGCACCCAGACATTATGGCATTCTGGGGACATGGCCATTAGATAACCCAGTTTTCTTTTTCGTTGGGCCACCATTTCTGTCTCCCTTGCATGTGACCCTTCCATCTGCTGTGCACAATTTGCAGATGAGAAGAGGCTAGTAGACTGAAGCATTCAAAAAGGCTTAAGGGAACAGGCACTTCTGCTTTTCTGCCAACCTGTGGCAAAGTATGGTTTCCAGAAAGGGATGAGAAAGATGACATGGGTGTTTTCACTGGTTACCATGAAGTTAAATAGTTTTGGTAGGGTAGCAAAAAGATGGCAGAAGATGGTGAACAGCATCTTGCACAATTATACTCCCTGGAACTGAAGGTTGATTGAACTTATGGGATTCTGGACAGCTGAGTTATCCTTGTTTGTTTTAAGGCTGAAGGTGACTCTTTTTAGAGACTGTAACCAACCAACTCCTTCTGATGTCCTACCTCCAGATGCCACTTCTGAAGCTGAGGTGCCTTTCCCCCCTCCTGGCTCCCAGCATAGAGGTTCTATTTTGGGGTGTTACAAAATCATGCCCTGCTCTACAAATAAACGTGACACTTTTTAACTTGGCATCCGTGACCCATTTTTTTCCCTCTCTGAAGCACTGAATGGGCACAAATGGAAACATTCAAGAAAAGGAAAGTTTGTGACCATCTGCCTGGGCTTGAAGGGTTTCCGTTTCAATGAAAATGTAGCTTCTAGTCGAAGGGGGACAGGAACAGTCCTTCAGCTGCACCATCTAACTGATGCGTGCTGGTATCTGCTCCCTGTCTCACCCGAGCACCTTGATCCCACTTGGTTAGAAAAGCCAGCGTAAGGCACAATTTCTGAAAGCTTTGCACTGTGTCTAGGCAATGCTGTAGAGAGGCTGGATCTTCGGATTCTGGGAGAATCGCAGCTCCGAGGTAATGGACATGCCTTTTCATTCAAAGAGTCATAGATTCAATGCCCCGTGCCTTGAGGGAGAGTGGAGCGGGTCTACCTCATTTCCTGGAAATCTGCTCATTGGGGTAGCAGAGAGACTGCATCAACTAGGCCAAGATGTAAAGAACTTCTGTGTCCCTAGCTGGCATGTCCTTGAAATGAAGGCGCTCTTCTCAGGATAGGCTTAAGTCAGCTAGTAACCTAGTCCAATATGGCAGCACATAATCACCGTGAATGGACTCAAACCCACCAGCTTCCTCCACAACATCGCTGGTATCCTGTGGTCCCTTCCTGTAGGAGGTGCTGGCAAGGATTTATGACCTCCCTAGCCACTTCCCCACCACCAGGCTGTCAGCATGAGGTGTGCCTTGACCATGGCAGCAAATTCATGCCTGGGCAGTGGGTTCTGTGCTGCCTGCCTGGTGAATGAGTTTTGGGATGGAGGGCTTTGTTTTTCCAGCCACCCTTTCCCTCCAACTGTTTTCACTGGTGGCTAGGCAGCATGGTCCACAGGGGGAAGGTCAGACGAGAGGCTCTGGCCAAAGCAGTGTGTGACATCACAGAACAAGGCCCGCCCCATTTGTACATGTGTTGTGACATCGCATGCACGTTCCAAAGGGGTGGAGGTTGTGGGGTGACACTGTTTTTGTCGTTTTGGCAAAAGTAGCTGGAGTTATGGACAGGCGTGGGACTAGGTAGACAAAGCTGTTCAACTGGTTTAGAGGTCCCCACAACTTGGCTGATGTATGGAATTAGTTTAAACTTCTGCAAGTCTTGGTTTATTTGGGGTTAAACCTTGGGGTCAGCTGACTGGGTGAATCATTCATACCCCATTGATCCCATTGTAGGAATAAGGCACAAGAGTAGGTAAATAGTTGAAATTAGATCATATCCACCTAATTCCTTACGACTGGAGTGGACAACCTCTGAAGGGTTGGCGATCCCCATTCAATCTGTTGCCTTGTTGGCAGGCTACAAGAACCTTTCCAGTGAGATCACCAGGGTTGAAAACGTTATTTTGCTGTTCTTTGTTTGAACATCATTCAATAATAAGATCCTTTCTTACTACAAGCCTGTGGCTGACTTGTCTCCAGGTCTGTTGATCTAGGGAACAAAAAGCAGCACTCCCACGTTGTGCTCAGCTTCTTGGCTTAATTACCTTTTGTTGAGGAACCCACAATTTGATGGATTTGCACAATATGGTAAGCCAGTAAACCTTACAAAAATCCCATTGTGGCTTAGTTGTGGTCACCTGGTTTTAAACTACATATGTACCACTGCAGTGTATGTATGGCAACCAGAAGACATTAGTGTATTAGTCCCATCTAATTCTCCACTGAACCAACCTCAGCACATGGGTCCTATCAGATGACTGATAGCTACCAGCTTTGACTATCTTGGACTGCAAAAATCAAAACTTTTTTTTTTTATTTGATTTTTCATTTGATACATGCCATAAGCGTTGGGACAGCAACTTGGTTACGTGGAGCTATTTCTTCCTTCTGAAATAGCCACTTAAAACATCCTGTCATTTCTTCTCATTGCCTTAGAACTTGTTTTGATGATTTGCGGCGGTGGGTGTACATGCAACACCCTTACAAGAAATCCTACAATGGTTTAGGGGTGTGGAAAGCTGCAGCTTGGGTAACTAGCTGCTATGATGAGTGTCATAGACAAGATTCATCCTTCCTGGTCCATTTTGTAAACACCAAAGCCCTGCCTTTCATTCTGTGCTTTATGCCAATTTTGGATCACTTCATTCATTAGAACACTACTTTCTAACAATACAGTTTCTTGTACTGTATCAAGGTTGGGTTGGGGTTGCTGGCCAGAGGCAGTATTTCCCCAAATCTAGAGTTACCCTGCTTTGGATTTGGGGTTATTGTGGAAATGGTCTCCTTCTGTGAATATCAAAACGGTAAAAACATCCCCTTGAAAACGCCTCTTTTGTGAAGGGTCATCCGGGGGTTTTGTTAAGATACACGAGGAAATTCAATCCAGTATCTGCAATTGGCAGCCACGTGGTTAAATAAATAGGCATCATTTGGGTCCGTGGTCACATGTCACAGCTTCGCCTGGCAAAAAATAATAATAATAATGGTTTGAATATTTGTATGGTAATGTTGCCTACTTTTTTTGGTTTTTCCATGAACTTTTGAAGTTATAATCCTTTTATCTGTTCAGTTTAAAAGCCCCTATCCCATGCATTTATGGCTTCTGCTGTAAGTGGATTTTTTCTTCCTTTGGAGGATCCTTCTTAGTATCTTGGACTGAAGCATTCTGGCTAATGTGTTTTCTCAAATTGTGTTCTTCCCATTACCTTGTATACAATATAATAATGGCTGACTATATACCTCCTTTGTTGTATATATTTTTGTTAACCATACTCATACCCACTGCAAAGAAGCAAACTATTTATTACAGAAATTTATTTAAAGGTTTGAAAGGCACCCTAATGTATTTATTATAACTTTCTTCATGATCTCCTTCTCCTCTCCTTTCTCTTGCAAACCAAATTAAAGTATTCCTGAACCACGGATGAAATAATGAAAAGAAAAAAAAAATTCTATGGGTGGTGTTCTAAGCCACATCAAAGCAACTATACAATAAAGAATATATCTATATATTCATTTTGAATCTTTCTTCTTGTCTTCATGCGGAGTGCTGCAAGGAGGGTGGGTGCCTCTGGATAGGCTTCGGTGTCCTGGAGAATGGAGGCCAACTTTGCAACCATGAGCTCTGACTTGGCCATGCTAGCTGAAGAGTCTGATAATTGTTGAACAATAATTCCTCCTGGGGATGCCTGGTTTGGAAGACTATCTGACTGAAAAGGTGCTGTTGCAGATCCACACTTCTGAGGTCTCAAACAACACGTGCATTTAGACAAATCTGGAGTGCTACTCATGAGAAAGTACTCAAGATGTGGGTGAGCAGATGTTGAGGGCCAGTTCAGTAACTGCAAGAACAGCAGAGTTTTTCTCTAAGATGAAAACTTCATCTGGAATTCTCTAGTCTCCTCTTCCTCAACACTGCAGTCTACAGTCAATACCAATGTTGACATCTGGGGTGCAGAACAGCTTTTCAACGCCATGGTTTTGTTTATAGCAGGGGGTGGGCTGTCTACAGGCTGCTGTGACCTTAAGGTGCTGTTTTGCCACTTTGAAGGACCCTCCGGAGTTCACCATATAAAACTGATAGTGAATCCCCACTTTAAGAGAAGCAAACTTTTTCTTTTGAATTTATTTTAGCCTTTCTTATGGATATGGAGAGAGAATGTTGTTGTTATACTTCCTCTCTTGCCCAGCTCTTGTGTTGCAATCTTGCCTACAGTCGGGGGTGTCTGTAGGGGGAGGTTAAAACAAGTCATGATGATGGTCACAATTGTGTTATCAAAGTTCTACTTCTTTTTTACATGTAATTGTGGTCACTATCTGACTCTTTTGATCCCCTCCTGTGGACAATCCTGCATATGATACAGTAATCCTCCATTTCGATGAAGCCCTTGGTGGGAATCATTCAGCAACTCAGTTTATCCAGAAGATAAGCATGGATGACATGTATAGACGGCCATGGTCCTGCTGTTCACTCTGAACATCACTGAGCTCTCAAGTAGGTTTGAGAACATTCAGGTGAGAACTAGGAATCCCATATGAGCTGCTGAATCTTCCCTGAGCTGCGTTTTGCAATGTATTT